AGAATACTCCTTAATGGGACAATATCCACTGTAATTGTAGAACTAACCTGAATAGCCACCGGATTCTTATTATAACACTCATTTGTGGGAAAAAAAATTTTAAAACTAAAATTTTAAAATATTCTTCCTCCTCTCCCCTCATGAATCAAACAACGTAATATTAAAACTCATCCACTCTCCTCTTTTTTTATAAATCCAAACAAGATAATATTAGAATCCTTCCACTCTCCTCCCCTCCTCTTCCCTCTATTAAAATTTCTTTTCTTCCCTTCCTCTCACTGAGCCAAACAGGCCTTTATGGGGTATTTGGAATAGCCCAGAAGTACTTTTAAAAAGTACTTTCATACAAATTGAAGTAAAATTGTTCTCATATACTTATCTTGTATATCATAAAATCATTTTTAAAATCATGATTTCTTCAAATAAACCAATGCACTCCTCTGATCGCATCTATAAATTACTTCTAATACGTTTCATATAGACCAAGAAAAACCCTAAACTTTATTAACTTTCTAACATTGTCCTATTTAATATACATTATACCTCATATAAAAGAAGTCAACACAATAATAAATGAAGGATAAAATTGTACATCCATATAAAAAATTTCTCTAAGCCCCCTATAAATGGAACAAAAAAAATTATCTTTTTTTTTGTCCTATAAATAGGTCTAGAGGATATTTAATTCATTTCTCTATCATAAATGCAATGAAGAGGTAAGAAACCTAAACTTGCTTTATGTATAACTATTAGTATATCCAATGCAAGTACCAAAAACTAAATTATAAATCCGTCTTTGAAATAAAAGTCAAAAACCAGTCATATAGAGCTAGAAATTAATGATAGTGCATATATACATTATCATTCTGGATAACATATCAAAAGGGCAGCAAGTATTTTATATGCACAGTCAAATTATCTAGCCCGTCAAAGATAAATTTCTAGCGAAAAAGAAAGTGTTTAAACAAAAGTAAATATGCAATAATCAAGATTTAGGATGAGGCATTTTTAGAGGCAATCCTTTTGAAACATCATGAGACACTAAATATAAGTATCTCTTCCTGCAAAAATTTGAACCACGCCACTTTGTAAGGGACTTGCCCATTGCGCCAAGCCTATTAGGACAAGGCTTTCTTTCTTTTCTTCCTCTTCTTCTTTTCAACTGAAACAAGGCTTTCTACATAATTAATAACATCACCAAAACCCCATCTGTTGATAACAAACATCTTAGATTCATTAGCAGTGAGATTGATCAAACATATATAGTGCAGTCCTTACTACTTGATCACTCTCCAATTCACATTCAGTTTCACTAAGAATCGTTCGTTACATCATTCTCCATTTCACTTAGAATTTTCCCAGCGTGTTCGGGCGTGGCAACAACTGTACCAACAATTTCATTCCTTCACAATTAAACTTATAAGGGAAAATCAATTAAAAGTTCATATTTAGAAATTTTATTCATTAAAAATACTTCATGATATATACTCTACAAGATTTTATATATAGGAAATATCGGTACTATCGTATTTAGGTTTCTATGGTGAATAAACTTGTTAAAGAGCAACTATTCACCAATTTTCTCAACTTAATTATATTCGGACATTTGAGTGGATATTTTCGATTTTAAAATATAAAATATTCCCCTGATCCTTAATTTAAGAGGAAGTTAATTAATTTAAGTAATTTAAGAAAATTAAATAAATTACTAAATTCTAGCATATGTGACCGGATCTCTCTAAAATGTTCCTATAGTATAATATCATATTATATGTGAATTTATAAGTTAAATAAACTAGTTTGAAAAAAATAATAATTAAATATGAAAAGAATATATTAAAGTCTGATATTTAAAATTACTAACTATTTCTTAAATTTAAGACTCAAAGAATACTTATTCACTTGTTCAAACAAGAAAAAGATGATGCCTAAACATGATAAACCAATGTCCAGAGTCGTTAAGTATTCAAAACATCTTATTAGAATCCAAGACCCAACAGAAAAATTATAATTTAAGGTAGTATGAAGTATGAACATAACATTATTGACTCCACGTGGAAAAAGGAGGACATATCGGAATGGAGCATCTTCCAACCAAGACACCAATAAAGTAAACCCCCGCGCCCCCCCCCCCCCCCTATTATTCAAATACCCAAAGCAACAAATTGGCCAAATCCCCTCATAAAATAACAAAACCCATCTGGAAAAATCCCATTCTTAATTAATTTCCATACTATTTTATATACATCGATTATATAACACGTGAATGGTGATGCAAAATCCGAACTTTCATGGAAATTATGAACAGGCTTTTTTAATTCAATTATATAACGCAACAAAGGCCATCACACACACACACAGATACATACATACATATATACACACACACACATATATGTATATATATATAGCTCGCGAAGCAGAAACATCATCTCATCTTACAGCAATTATCCTCTGAAGCATGGATAACAAGACTACCTTTGACTACTCCGACATAGTTCTTCTACAATCAATCCGGAGCTACCTTCTTGATGACGAATCCGATGCTCTCATTGCCACTCCGGCCACATTCGCCAGCGACGCTCCGGTTTGCCGCCTGATTTTTAGCTCCGGGATGACGGAGAACAGCGACGGTGAGATTAGCTCTCCATCTTTCTCGTCCGAACAAGCAAACACTGCCACTGTGGCGGAGGTTTGCAATGCGGATGCAGCGGAGCGTGGAGTTCACGCGCCGCCGAGTGGGAGGGGCTACAGAGGAGTGAGGCGGAGGCCGTGGGGGAAGTACGCTGCGGAGATTAGAGATCCGAAGAAGAGCGGCGCCAGAGTGTGGCTTGGGACTTATGAGACGGCTGAGGACGCGGCTTTGGCTTATGATCAAGCCGCGTTCAAGATGCGCGGCTCCAAAGCCAAGCTGAATTTTCCTCATCTTATTGGCTCTAACCTGTCGGAGCCACCGAGAGTGACCGTAAAGCGGCGGTGCCCGGAGCCTTGGAAGGAGGACGCATGGACGGAGGTTAACAGGGGAAAGAGCCTAGTGAACTTGTCCATGCGGCATACCCGTGAGCCAAGCATTGGAAGCGAAGATGTGGAGTTGTAGTTGGGCTCGGTGGTGTTTCATAAACTTTTTTTTTTTTTGCCCGAAATTAATAAATATTATTTTAAATGACAGCGCCCATAACTTTTTTCCTCTGGTTCATTTTAATTTTGTCTAGAGAATTACAATCAAATCTTAAAAAAAAAATAATTATTAAAAGAATCCTCATAACAACCTGATTAGCTTGTAATGACAAGTTCTAGAATAGAGAATGATAATCTCTAAAACTTGTTTTATAATTTTTTTTTTCCTTCTTAGAAGTCTCATTGTAATTCTTCCTTTTGTTTATCTTCAAATTTGATAGAAATGCAATTGGAATAACGGATTTTTATTCATTTCATTTTTCATATTCGTTTGATATGGACTTCTTCACATATTTCCGTGAAGAAAATCCAAGTTAAGAGAAAGACCAAATTAACCTTTGTGTGAGTGTTTGTTGTGCTCTCTCGTTATATGTGTCGATTGTGATTTCATTAATTTGTACCATCCAAATCACCAAATCTGACTCAGAATAAATCTTGCTTTAGGACAACAATAGAAGATTTAGATCTCTCTGATATGTTGTTCATAAAAATTGTTGGGCCCAGCTGCTTTCACTTATCATCAAATTTGGGTTCTAGAATTTCACAAACAAGTAACAAGGATGAATTTGGATTCTGACAAATGTGAATTTGATGAATGTCACGAGGACATACTTTTACCATTTGAGCGAAGTCCATTGAGCAAATTTGATAGTACAATAACATCCTCCCTAGCATTCCACTAATTTTGACCCCATAACAAAACATCGACAAAAACATAAGCAAAAAATAATGAATTATATCCGGACCAAAAAAAATTAAGAATGACAATAGTAGACAAAGTCCATGTTCATGGAGGATTAAAGGACAAATTTGTCCTGAATTTTCACTTAAGAACATCAAACACCCAAAAAAAAAAATTTAACTTCAATATTACTTTGAAGGTTCAAAATTCTGACACTTTTATCTTTTACCATTAAAAACTTAACGTTGACCGTTAATATTTTTAAATTTTCAAAACAATATTAAATCTAAAAGTATTTCAAGTACCTATCACTTCAAGTAAAAACTTTCAAATAAATTTACACCTTAATCACAATAATTCTGCTGCATTCATGTAGCCAATTTCATTTCGAAAGATCAAACTTGTATTGGGTCTTTCTCCACATGTGAAAAGAGAGAGTATACCCAACGTATCTCTATTGATACCCAACATATCTCGACTTACTATCCCTACACGCTGCCAAAATAAATTCGCACCAACTTGTCATTGTTGTTGTGGTAAACAAAATATTTCCAATTGTCGGGTGGATTCCTCATTCCTGATTCATGCTAAGTCAACGAGATTGCAGCTTCTGATTTTATCAAAATTTACATTTTTGGGTACCATTTTATGACCCCCCCCCCTTCTCTTAAAGCAAAATCCGGACGGACCGACTTAAACTTGCCACTAAACAAGGCTGATAATCGAAAGACACTCCTTATAGGTTGAAAATGCACAACGAGATTGCAAGTTGCTACTTCTGATTTCAAACGTGCCAAATAATAATATGTAACCACAAAACTGACAAAAGAAAGAAAAACGTCTCTGTTATAAATAAGTTGAAGAAAAAACTCCTTTGTTGCAGGAGTTAACTTTGGTCACAAAAAGGAAGTATAGGGAAAAACCAGGCAAAGCCAGACCCCAGGACCCTGGAAGGAGCACTATGGTTTTCAATGCATCCAAAGGAAAAAGAATGAAACTGGCTTTCACCGAAAAAAGAAGAAGAAGAAGAATGAAACTAGCAGCTAAAAAAAAAAAAAAGATGAGATGAAATGAACAGTAACCAAAAGGGGGAAAAAAACAACTAAAGGGAAGAAGAACAGTAGGAGAAAAAGAGCAGAAGGCAACAAAGAAGAAATCAGAAACTTGCTTCTGACAATACCATACTCCTAAATATGGTTTCCAAACAGTTGGAGTGCCTAAAAAATTCTGGCTTGCTTCTTGCTCCAACTGAAAAGGTATAGAATAACTCCCAAATCCCCAAGTGTTAGCCAAGAGATCAGAGAGAGGTGTTATTTGTGATTCCAGAAAACTGTCTTCTTTTCTCTTTCCTTTTTTTCTTTTTCAATCTCAAGGTATATATGAATATAGCATTGGCATGTCACAAATGTGAAAAAAATCATGTTATCCGTGACACCCACTAATTTGGAGGACTATCTTCTGGACCACAAAACATCACGAAGCGCCTTGTTTCTCAGTTGCTTTGTAGTAAAGCATCTTCTGTACATAGAACATCATGTAGCCCTGGGCAGCCCTAACAATGTTCTCATCAACCTGAGTGACCCATGCATCATCGCACTTGTACCATTGATTGCCTAACCGCAAATAAGTCACATAGTGGCCAGCATCTAGCTTACCTGAGTGAGTGACAACGGCAAACAACTCAAACTCTGATGCCAATTCACTTGTAGCATCAGGCTGCTCATCATCATCAAAAGGAAAGATTCTGTTCCCAAAACGGCTCCTTAAGATTGAAGAGGAAAGGTAGGGTGACATGTCAAGTGACAAGGGAAATTGCAGATAGCGGTCCACCTTCCTTGACATCTTTCTTGTTGAAGAATGCTCAAATCTTTTTATGTGGAAGCATGAAACTAAGGGAAGCTTTCTTATGGACATTTGCTTGAGAGATTCCTGCCTCACTTGACACTGTTGACAGAAAAACTTTTGGTCCGACCCCAGCCTCTCAGCTCTTGTAAATTGCTCCAAGCAACCCCTCAGAGTTGATGTCCCAGAGGTTTGACCTGGTTTCATGCAATCCGACTCACCATTGCATGAATCTTTTGATGTTGTGGTAGTTATCTTGGCAGAACCGCCTTGATTTGGTTCCAAATCCAGTGAGATGTCAACGCAAGGGTCATAAGTTGTAGAAGTGAAACCACAGGCCATGCACATAACATCAGATCGCAATATACCAGAAAACACCCTATGAGCAATGCAACAGTCTCCAATGCCTGTGCCATCAAGAAGATAGGGTCATGTAAATGTTGCAATGGAATCAAATGGCATCATTTTAAAAGCTCATCTACCAACGTTGTTTTACCTTTCAGCTGTTGCATTCAAAATATTCAACAGATTATGATCAATTGCAAAACCAGTTTTGGTGTAAGATTATGACTTGATCCACAGAAACGCACCAAAAATGAATTATTCATAATATCTTTGCAATTAAATGTCGTTTAAAATGAAGCATGGGAAGGATAAATGAGGCAGCGTACAAAATAATCTAACACCCTGGCTTGATGAACTCGACTCCTAATCTAATATTTCATTATCATTTAAGTATGTCTCAATGACTTTCAATGTGTACAAAGACATTCACTGACGTCTACATTTACCATTGGTTCAAATAACAGTTACATATTATCTATTAAAGCCTTTTGAAATTGAGAGGGAGAGAACTTTGCATGAGCCAATTTAGCAAATGTTCCATTATTATCCTCTTGGACCACTCCAAAATTCAAGGTCAGTCCAAGAAAGCAAAATTCATAGAGAACTCGTATATATCTGCCTCAATTTATGTGCTTCCAATCACTGCTTTCAAGTGAGATTAGAACAGACCACAATGGAGCAAGGTGAACAACTTATGAAAAGGGGAGTTTTAGACTTTCAGGAGCATCTAACAAACTCCCAAGCGAAAAGAACTATATCAATATCCTCCAAAATCTTAACCAGGTGGGAGAGAGCTCATATCGATTCCAACACAAAGTAATGTATGGGAACCTAATGCAATTTTTCCTCCAAGCTAGGATAAGCCTTGTTTAATTATAATCCTAAAAATGGCAAGAGATCGAGTTATCAGGAGCATCATTTCAGCTAAACATCCTATTTGAAGAAACCATGCTAGAGAGATGTTGACTTACAGGGACTCACTGGTGTGTAGCAGCTAACACCATCAAGCCAGCAGGTTGAGGTTGATAATTAGCCCTAATTTTTTGAGCAATGGTCAACTCCTAGAGCAACAAGCAAGAGACCTAAACCCATACCCTGCAGTTAAATGTTGAGGCAATTTTGTTATCTTAAATAGTAGTTTGAATTATCTTAAATGCAAAGCAATATTAAAGGCATGGAAGTCATCAGGACAGTGACACTCCTTTGATAACCTTGTATTAGCTGGCCAGTAGCAGCTATCATTTATGCATTGACTCGTCACGTGGTGACAATGACAACAGATTACCATCTTATACCACCTACAGATTTGCGTACTTGGCCGCCCATTGCTAACATTTAAGAACTAATACAATAGATATCAGCATCCTATTATTCCGCTAGGCCAAAGGTAAATTTTTGTCATCAAGAATTCCACTAAATTACGGACTAACCACATCATTATTGAAGATATAAAAAAGAAAAGTAAGCGCATCATCCCACAATCCCATATTTTCATTTTCTAATATGATGGCATTGGCATTCACTAACCTCAATAATCTGAAAGTATTGTAAAGGGCTGCACAGAAAAGGGGGCAAATCCACAACAGCTTAAATGCCACAATCAGAATCCACAGAAACAAACACGTCTTACGTATTTGTACACACACACACATACATATATATCAGCGGGATCAGATAAACATCCAATTTTCACACAAGGAAAGGCCGGGACAAGTTGATTGTATTTTCACATTTACCCGTAGAAAGCAAAACAAGCCCACTCTAAGGACAATGAGAAATTCCAATAAGCTCCCTAGATTTATCTTTCTTTCCAACTTTTTTCCTTTTTGTCTTCTAGTATTTGTTTAGGTTAAAAATTAGAATTACCCCACACAAGTATAATTTGATTGACAGACAGTTTAGTCACAGAAGGCAAGAGAAGGAGTAGAAATAGGCGTCACTGTCAGAACATTACCTTGACCATGAGGCTTCCGCCGATCCCTCTCCACCTTTTCACATAACCCATCCAGCATGGAGATGAAAAATTCATGTGCATCCTGCTGTTCATAACCTGCAAGGTTCGCTGCATGTTGCCACCAACTGTGCCATGAAAACAAAGACATCGTTAAAGGAATAGACCATCCCATAGGAAGTAAACTTAAAGAACTGGAATCCCAACAAAGCATTTCAACCAGGCATAAAAATTAGATATTCCAATTCCACCACTGCTTCCACAAAATTAATAATCCAACAAATACAAAAGGAATCACAGGCAGCGGTAAATTTCCGTATAGAAGTTACTGAAGACCTAAATTCAACCTATATTACCCGCATTTACATTAAAAAAACCCCCCCAAAAAAGTCCTGCGTTAGCACCTAGCTGAAAATGCTTAATTCCACGATTCTTCTTTTTACACGATTCACACCTGTATAAGAACTTTGCGGGGCTGTAGGGTTTCCGATCTCCCGAAAACACAGCGGAAAACATAGCATCCAGATCACAAGCTAAGCATACTCGCACATTCTTATTCCCATTGCCGCCATCCTTGTTATTAGCAGTTCTCCTCTCCGCATTGCCAGCATTACTGTTTTTCTGACAAAAATATCGGTTATGCCTATCGCTCAGAAAATAATTTCTCAGAGGCGGCGTGTGAAGCAGAGCCTGCAAGACAGAATTCATAAAGCATGTATTCCCCAAATTGTTCAACCCACGCAATCCCCGCGGCAGATCCGAAGAACAATGGTCACCGTCCAGTGGATTTGAACCGCTTCCCATCAAAAACTGCTCGCGCTGATCAGGAAACCACGGCCGATAGTCCACTCTGCGACGCTTCCGAAGATTCTCCGGCCGTGGAGACGGAATCGCGGCTGACCCACCACCAAGAGTAGACGCGCTGGTCTGAGCCAATACCACCGCAGCATCGAAATCGCGATCGTAAATCTGGTCACGGCACGCGCAGCAGAAGAGCTCGGCCCGATCAACATCGACAGCGATCTCATGACCCGGCGACATTGCGGAGGCGTGGGCCGTCGCATGATATAGCCCCCCAGCGGGCGCGTGACAAGACACGGTGGCGCACGCAATGCAAGCATATAGGCGGGAAGTAGCTGAGTCCCCACAGGCGGAACAACGTGGAACCTCGTGAGGATCCCGGCGTATGGAAGCACGGCCTGGCTTTACCCGAAGGCAATTCTGGAAAGCCCGGAAAGGGTGGGACCCATTTCGAGATCGGAACTCGGTCAAGTGGGTACATGACGGCGGAGCAATCGGATCAATGGATGAGCGATTGATCTTGGAAGACATATTGGAAGACAAAGAAGAGGATGATGATGATAATGTGGTGGTCGACGATCGATGGTAACCCTAGATGGTCTCCAGAGCATTGGAGAAATCAACGGCTGAGATTACAGAAATGAAAGGGACAGTATCATGGAGGTTGATCAAGATTGAAGATTTCCAGAGTGTGGAGCTTCTTCTTCGGTCCTCGCGGGGATTGCTTGCTATAATTTGCTCAATGCTCTTTGCTCACAGCCACACTGTGGGTCTTGTTTTTCGTTTCTCCCCAACAACACAGTTAAAAAAACAAGTATAGCACTTAACTCTTATTTTAATTATAAATATAAAATCTTAATTTATTTTATTTTATATATTTATCTATTTTTTTTAAAGTAATATGTGTAATAATAGTAATTCTAACTAATACATTTAATTAGTAAGAATATTTTAAAAAAGACAACACATATTTATTACAAATAACTAACTTAACTAACTTTTTTAATTTACTTAAATTAATCAACTAGTTCTTATATTAATAACTAGAGGTAGTATAAAGGAAAAAAACATAGGCAAATAAAAGGAAAGATAAATGATTAACAATGAAAATGTATAAAAGTGCACCATTTTTTGAGCTTTTTTTTCTCTAAAATTTGAGTCTATTTTGATTTTAACTCCTCAAATTTCAAAGCTGATGTTTTAGTCCCTATAATTTTATCTATCTTAAAATTTTAGTCCTTGATGATGTAACGTTATTAAAATCTGCTGAAGTGATATCAATAACGTTAAAAGTGGCAATGTAAACTCAACAAGTGATGTCTAACTGAATTTTGTGTGGATAACAAAATGTAATGTAATGAATAGCTTCTGAAAATAAACGGTGAAGAAGAAAAAACAAGAGGCTGAAGAGGTATGTTTTGCAAAACATGTTCTCTTTTATCTTTCTATTATCTATACAAAATCTAACTATGTGCTATCTGATGAGTTTACATCACCATCATTTTAACGATGTTTATGGCCCTTTAATATATCTTAATACTGTTATATTTTTTAGGATTAACGTTTTAAAACGAACTAAATTTGATAAACTCAATTCATTAGTTTGAAATTTAATAGACTAAAATTAAAATATGTCTAAATTTTAGGGACCTAAAATTACACTAATCCTTATTTTAATACCTTCTGTTTTCCTTTCTGATTGAGTTTTGGTGCTGGTCATGGCACGTTTTCCATTCTAGCATCTTATGTTAAGCCGCCAAATCTTATACGTGGTACCATACGACTTTTTGACTTCTTTTAACATTTTATATTAAGACTCAACTAAGGGTGGTAGTCAAACGAAGAAGCCAACCGTTGGTTGCACCAAAAATTCTGAATAAATTGATAGAGTTGAATTTTACATTTTTTTTTCTCTTCTTATTGAGCATGAGCTGATGTCATTTTGAGTTAAAAAAATAGTAATTTGTCATGTTTATATTTTAATACTTCTGTTTTGTTATGTTACTTGTTGTTTATATTTTAATTAAATTATATTCTCTTAATGCTTTATTCAATTATGGCTAAATCGTTCACTCTTAAATCACTGACCTATTTAATAACTGATTTTATTTTTAATATCTCGCTTAATCCTATATATAGAATATAGAATGCTTTACAAAGAACTACATGATACTCCATTCGGTTCCTCATATTCTTGAGTATGACGATCAAATAAGAATTAAATTAAACAGATTGCTCTTTATAACTCATTTTATCTCAAGCAGCAATCAGAATTGTTAGCAGCCAACATGTTTACCCTATTTTGTATTAAGTTGCCTTAATATATGAAATCAAATTGATACTAGGGTTCAACATGAGATCACAAGAAAATTCATTTGCTAAGGAAAGATGCTCCATTTCTCCCAAATTGAAACAAACAAATTGCATCAACCAAGTACGATTGGCCAAAGTGGTATGATGCATGACAACCTTACAAGCTCCTTCTCTTCTTTATATCTATTCCTAGTCATTATATGCAGTTAAGTTTGACCGTTAAATTACGTATTTTAACCTGTATCTTCAACAAATCAAACTTAACAGTGGATAACAAGCAGAAATGCTATGAAATAAAACTTTCAAGACATATAAGAGCCAAAAAAAAGACTTTCAGGTGCTGAGTGCTTCTTCATGGATACTTTCGGGATATTTAAACAGTTTATCCTGTTAAAAAAAATAATATAATGCTTCTTGGTTATGGAAAAGCTTTCAAAAAAAATTCTTATATAATTGTCAAGAAGTTAAAATGAAAGACTGGCAATGGCTCGTTAATACCTCTAAGGCATGTTGCAGATGAATTTACTTGCATGTTGCAGATCTCCCATTTACTCACTTAACCGGAATCCATTGCGTTGGAACAAGCCTTTAATCTGCAGTTTATACTCTTCTACTATTGCTTACACAGCTATTAAAACCCCAATCTCTTTCCCTGATGACTAGGATCTGCCTTTATGGGAAGGATATTTTTCAAGCTTGTATTCTACCAAAGATGGCTTCAAAATTTAAAACATTTATTCATCTCATGCCCATATGCGAGTGTTTTTCCATTAGGCCACCTAATCTCAATTTTCCTCAATTTAGGTTTTGGCTTCAAGAACACCTTGTTTCAATTACATAAGAACGGCCTTGAATTTCTGATATGTGGTATCACAATCCTCATTCCAATTATTATTGTTTACCTCTTTTAATGATGCTTGGACAATATGTAAATGCTTGTCTCAACCGAAACTCTTCTCGTATACTCAACTCATATTTCGTAAATTATAATTGAAAAAACTGCTTTCCAAATAATCCCGCATAACTCAAACCGTGATTATGATTAGCTTCTACCACCTAACTCAAACAAAAGCTACGACATAATAATTAGCTTTTTCTCTCAAGCACAGTGGCATGTTTGCTTAGAGCCTTGACTTGAGGAGTGATGCTATGTTTGCAGTACTTTTGTCCAAATCCCATAAGGATGAGTGATTGTAAAACAATAATTATGTTCATCCAAAGGCCAACCTTTATAGTTGTTTGTAATTATTTATCTTCCCGTAAACCTGACAATTTTGCTCTTGTCAATTAATAAATTAATCTTACTTGTACATGCATAAAATTTCACAGTAGTTATATTTTTAGTCTTCAAAATTTCACTTACTTTTACATGTTTTTTATGGAATGATTATGTTTTCAGTCTTCAATATATTTATTAATAATTATTATTTAGTAAATAGTGCCCCTCTCCTTTTAGGCTGCATGCCAAATTAATTCCTTTTTTTTTCCTGCAATTGTTGTAGGGTCCCCCCCTCTTGCTGATAAACCTTATTAATATTTTATAAAATTTTAATAAAAACAAAAATTGAAAAAGCTGTATTATTATTTATTAAGTCAGGAATAACATGTCCCAAAAACCCATGCAAAAATAACAAAAATACTATCATTAAGAGATATTTCGCAACCCTCCATGAACTAAGAAATGGCACTCTTTATATATGATTAAACAAACTCTTTCCTATATGATTATTAGAGTGACAGAACAATGAGCGGTAAAAAAACTCAACAAGAAACAAAAGTTTTCTTCTTCTTCAAATAGAGTGATGATGAGGATATTTATCAATAATGAAGTGATGTCTCTCAGAATGGTACATCTCTTCAATTAAAAAATCTTAATTGCATGTTATATTCACGAATCTCAGATGTTGATTCATAAATCAACATAAATTCTCTAATTTATGAGCACATAACTTTTCAAAAAACACATCTCTTCCTATTAAAAATATTTCAATAATATTAGAATGATTCCTTCTTTTACATACCCACACACAATATTTACTGCACAATATAGTTAATTTCAAAAGTTGATATTTTAATAAAGTTGTAATTTTATTGAAAAATATTTGCATTAATTTATGTGCTGTTTTGGTCAAAAAAAGTATGTGTTGTTAATTTTTTTTATCCCGCAGACCTAAAATTTATCAAGGCTTTTTTTTAATTAAAAAAAACAGCGAAAAAGAATACCCGTCAAAGGCCTAGTTCAATTACAAATCTTTAAATTTGACCCAAACTGAACTTTGGACCGGTTCAGAGCATCCCAATACCAGCACGTTGTTTGTATCTTCAGCTTGGAAGTTATAGGCTGCATTATGAATTGGGTTCTGCATTAGCGTGGCCTTTTAATTTGTTGGGCTATTACTTTTATTGCTTAGTCATATGGGCAGATAATTTGTCAAAATTTGATATGCATATACTCCCTCCTCCGATCCCAGTTATAAGAATTAGTTGACTAATTTGAGAAAATTAAAAAAAATTAAGTTAGTTATTTGTAACAAATAGGTATTGTCTTTCCTAAAATATCCTTACTAATCAAGTGTATTAGCTAGAACTACTATTGTTAGAAGGATTATTTTAAGAAAAAATACATAAATTGATTAGTAAGGATATTTTAGGAAAGACAACACATATTTATTACAAATAACTAAATTAACTTTTTTCCTTAATCTCCTCAAATTAGTCAACTAGCTTTTATAAATAGGATTGGAGGTAGCATAAATATGACCCCAAAAAATATTATTTTTTTATTAGGTACAGATATTTTTTTTATTAGAAGTAATCTTATTTAAAGTACTGTCAGATACTAAATATGGACACCTCTTATAGCAAAGATTTGAATCTTGATTCACTACATTGTGGAAAACTAACCTTTCTATTAGACCTAACCCCGTTGATACCAAAAAAAATTATTTTTCTCTCTAACTTATAAATAAGAACTAGGAGGCTGGGAGTAGTGATCTTATGCTTGAGGCCTCAAATTGTTAGTCTGTATGGCCCTTCATATAGATTGCATATTTTGGACCCTCATCAAAGACCACATTAGATATGAAAGGGAGGCTCTTTTTTTTTCCCTCTCTTGTTTTTGTAATATGTTTTTTCATTGATTAATCAAAGTCTTTTGTTAAATATGTGAGGAAAATGAGAATAAAAATATATATGGAGCCTAATGAAATACGTCGAAAGCCGCATTGATTATTAATAGTTTATAGCGTAATTTATATTTTTATATTAATATTGATGAGAAGTCAAATCCTGAAGAAAGAAACATATATCGAGGACAAAATTTGATTTGGCAAAA